CGGCGCGCAGACAAGCTTGAGTGGTAACGCATACCAATTTAAATGAGCGCGACTGTGATTAAAGCCTAAGGAAAACACGTGAGACTAACGGGCAGTAATATATGCTACTGGCGTTAATTGCAGGCTGACAGAGCTTAATTGTTACTCCTACTGCTGTTGTTACTGTTGCTGTTACAGTTGGCTGTTTTTCTCAGCAGCTCACCAGAGGGGAGCACAGAGTGAGTCGGTGCCGTGAACAAAGCTCGACGTGATGCTTCATAGTTGGGCCGCATGACCCGTGCCTGCGGGATTTTTGTGACAAAAGAGATCTTTGGTCGGCAAGCGCCTAATATTAGAGGAGACAACGTGCGTATCGCCACTGAAATCTACAGCTGCCGATACTGCCTTGAGAACTTCAGGCAGCTCACATGGAAAGCAACAATCGCTGTGAAACTCTTGAACCGTGAAAGTGTTTTGCGAAATCAGGACACAATTATCACCCGTGCTGAAGGTAAGCGAATGCGACCGCTAACCTGTCCTGTTCACGCGCCTACAATGCGAGGCTGTCTCCACCATGTTTGACATGGACTAACGTCGACCACAACTGTGTCCCTTGCGCCACCGTTGTGGTGTGCTTTGTTTCGGTCGGCGGCACTCGCCGTTTCTGTACACGCTCTGAAGGTGTTGGGCTGGGCTCGGCCAGTGTCTGGTGGTGTTGACTCTGCCCGCTGTGGGGCCCACGCTCCACGCTGTCCCGTTCCTCCACACTGCTGCCTGACACATAAGCGGCGGGTGGGACATGAACAAGCAGTGGGCGGGGCGTGATAGGTCGTCACCCACCACGTCATCAGAGGCCGACGAAACCAAACAGAGTGGCTCTCGGGCCGCCCCGGGCGCGACACAGTGCCCCTCGAGCCCCTCCCCGGGCGTGGGGGTCACGGCCCCCGCGCCGCGCGGCCGGAGGCGGTTGTCCGGACGGCGTGTGTGTCCCAGTTGTGTGCGGCTGGCTAACTCCGGGCGGAACGCTTTGAAGACAGCCCGGGAATGTACGCCGGCCGGCCGGCGCCGACATGTGGCCGTGAGTGTCGCCCTGGTGACGTCACGGGACCGCTGGTACCGGGAGGACGCCAGGAACGGGCCCGGCGCCCGCTCCGGCACTGTGTGACCTGCCGCGGTCGTCGTGTGACCGCGGTCGTCGCGAGCGGTGGTACACGCCATCCGTCCGTAATCGAATTATGTTTGGAGCCGACCCGGGACTCTACTGACTGTGCGTGACCGCCCGAGTGATCTATTATCTCCCATATCTATAACGGGTCATCAATAAAAAGTAAAAGGAGCGCGTTGATCGTCAGCCTCGTGCCCGCATCGGCAGGACCGCGCGCGGAATGTCAGCCGGCAGCAGCGCCGTTCGAGATTCGAGAGCGCTGACTAGGACATTCTACGTCTGACTAGGGTTTGATTGTCGCCCTCTCCGACAGTTCACTGCTGACGGCGCGTTGATCTGGATAATCCCTCAGCTTCTCTGTCCGCAGCGGATAGTGGAGTATCAAAGGTGTTGCTAGTGGAGGTAAAGTCCAGATCACCAGGCGCTGCCGGCTGCGCACGGCGAGCTTTTCCTTCCCGTGTGGGCTCCGCTGCCGGCGACAGCTCGGGCAGGAAAGCTGCTCAGTCGGTGCCATATGGTCCGGCAAATTGTCGGTGAAAAGCCCAATGACAGCTTCTTTAGCGCGTTACGACCGCCTCGCGCCGTCCGGAGCGCGTGCCGCGGCCCGATGGGGCGTGGTGACGTCTCGGTTTGACGGATGACGTTCACGGCGCGGCCAGTGGGCGGCGAAGTAGACCATCGATCGCACCGGTGGCGCGCTCGCGTGACCATTACACAGGCACACACTCAGCTGCATGGAGGCGTACCTTTGTCCAGGCACCAAGGCCAACGGAGGAGCCCAGGCCAATCACGGGGCAGGCCATATACGAAGGCGGTGGGTCTCTGGGAACGGATTGAGCAAGACACCACCAAATGTGTCGCTGCGTTTTGCTATCTGCCTATCGACACCAAACAGGGCTGCTGCCAATTTGTGTGACGTAGTCTTGCCACGCATGGTTAACGCGTGAAATAAGGCGCAAATTTTTGAGTGGGTTAGCGAAAACATATTTCTCTAGGTAAACTGGTTATTCGTGTCCCAACCACTGCTGTGCGCGCATCCCAGTTGGCTCCCACCAGATAAGAGCCAGCATGATAATCTAACATTAGATCAGGCCGGTGTATGGCTACTTATATTCGTGTGTGACTGCGCAGAGACCTCTATCACATCCCTGACAGACACGCACTCTTAAGCAGCCATTCGCGTGTCACCTGAGGGTTTCATGATCATCCAAGCGTGGCGCACACACAGTCGCCCCATCGCCGAACCCCGCCTTCGCCAAGCGTATGGCCGCGTCGAGTTTTCCCGGCAATATATCAGCCCGCTATCATGCCATGCATCTTCTGGAGAGCGGCCGTCCTCGCGTCTGTAGGCCGGGCCGCACGCCGGGCGCCGCCGCCCAGGTGACCGGCGGCGCGCCCCCTTCCCCGGGCGGCGAGGCCTGAGACGCGCCACGCGCCGTCGGTCACGTGCCGCCTATCTGCGCATCGCGGCCGCCGCGCCGCCCGCTACGGCGGCCGCGGTCGACGCCAGACACAATGCGGTCGCCGAGCCGGCGCTGGGCTCCTCCGCGCCCGGAGCTCGGCCGTGTCACGCCCCGGGCCGGCGCCCGATCGCCGCGCCGGGGGCGCCGATCCGTCGGCCGGCGCAGCGGTGACGTAACCGACGCCGACGCGTGCGGCGGCGGCCACCCTCACGCCGGTGTGGGCACGACGCACGCCCCGTCGCGGCCGGCGCCGGCGGTGGGCCGGCCGGCCCGGCGCCGTGACCGCTCCGGCCAACGGCTGCCGACTGCGGTCACGAACTCTTGCGGAACTGACGCCGACACCGCGCCGTCCAGTCGCGGATACATCATCGCCGTTTTGCAATGGATCGGGGAAATCGACCGCGTGCACGCGGACACAGAGACGCCGCCCACCTGGGTCCGGCCGACGGCGATCTGACGTCGGATTGATACCCACGGCGGTGCCATGTACTCGTTAAGATTGATACGGGCCGCTAAATGGGTTACAGATCCACGAACGCCTCGATCACTCGCGCCGGCCGGCCTTTATCCTGCGACCGTGTAATCTCCATGCTTGATTAAGCTGACACAAGGCTGCCTATGGTAATGTCAGCCCCGAGCACGTGTAGCAATACCTAATACACACGCGGTTTATCAGCCAATCATCGGCGCTGACTCACCTACCGCCACAGATAATCCGTAAAAATCCTGCCGATCGCGGCGTAATGACTCTGTCGGGCCGGCCTCGCAGGCGCCGCGGGGACCTGTCGCCCCCTCGCTGAGGTGGCGGCCGATCATCACCGCCGGCCACCGGCCCGGTCAGACCGCGACCTGCGTGTCGTGGCGTAACGCGGCCGCAGCGGGCGGCGGTGGCCCGCGCGCCGGCCGTCCTCTGTAGGCGCCGACTGCGGGCGGCGGTCACCGCGCTAGCCGCCCTGCGGCATCGTAGTCACCGCGCTAGGTGCTCTGCGGCATCGTGGTCACCACGTTAGCCACTCTGCGGCATCGCAGTCCCCGTCGGGAGGCTGGACACTCGTGTCGCTGCCGCCTTGCAGCCCGAGTCACGTGGTCAGCGACGCGGCGTGGTGCCACCCGACGGCCGCAGAGGAGGGAGGTACGTTTCCCCGCGAGTCTGCCCATGAGCCGACCACACAACGCCACTGAAGCGGCGAACGGCGCATCCTGGCGACGGTGGCGCGCGGGCGACCGCGCGGCCGAGCTGTCTGGCGAAGTCAGAGCCGCGCGCGGACTGCCGACTGCGCCGGACACGCCGCTGGCCGAACACGCGGCCGGCGTTCGGGCTCGGCAGCCACCAAATGGTGCTGATGCCACTAGGCCAATCATGACAGGGCACTCTGGCCGGACAGCCCGCTGCGTGGTCGTCTGTCGTCGCAGGCGTCCGTCGTTGTGCCGGTGCTACGACGTCCTCCGACTCAGCGCGCGGGAAGTGGAACATTAGCTGGTGGCCACTGCAAATTAGATGGCACCATCCGTTAGTACTATTTTTACTGTGAGGTGAAACATCTGCCATCGTGATTGTCATCAAGTATGTCTTTAACCGTTTCCACAAAGAGTACCCATTGCTGTCGATTAAAAAAAATTTTTTTAGCAATTTGTGTATGAGATCTGAATCTCTACTCGGTAATGAACACCAATATACTTTCACCTACAAATATTTCTGTAATTCGCTCCAGGTGCTCACACGGAAATTGCGTCAATAGCAAAGGCGGTGAACATTCCATCACGATTTTCCGACACATTTCCAAGAGCCTATAGCATTCCGTGCGGAATATTTGCAAAACGTGTGGAAAGAGTCATTCATGAAAACACCTGCTGTTCGCGCAATGCATTGTGTTGTCAATACTTGGAGCGCCGCTTGGTCGTTTAGTTGCCGAGTGACCCGTCAAATGTGTGATCATGCGTCAAAACCTGCCTCTGACTGCCTTAAGCGAACCCTCTCGGGACAAAATAACCCGAGGTGATGTCCAAAAATGGGCGTAGAGTGGCGCACACTTCTGTGGTTATATAATTAGCCAGGTAAGCATTCCTAAAAATCAGAACAGCTTAAGTGATATCCTTACACGGCCGCTGGTCATGGATGCGGACCGTTTGCCATCGGTGCTGTGCTCGTCAGCCGTCCCCGCCGCGCCCGACCGGTCGCTGGTGGCCGCCAGCGTCACACCGGAGCGGGTCAGGTCCAAGGTCGCGGTGCCGGACCGCCGGAGCCGCCAGCCGATCCGGCCCGCGGCGGCGCGGGCCCGGCGGCCGTGCGCCAGCCGGCGCGGCGGCGGTCGCGTCAGGTCAGAGGTCAGGGTCGGGTCGGAGGCGGCGGCCGCCGGCGGTCGGCCGGCACGTCCCGGCCGGCCGACGGCGGGATGACGGCCGCGCTCTGCAACAATGGCGCGCGCTCAATGGACGGTGCGGGGAAAAACGAGCCGGCGCTGGCGCACACGCACGGCCCGCGGACGGCGGCTCCCATGAGCCGGACGGGATAAAGGCGCGCACGGTGGCTGGGTACAGCGCGTCTCAAGGTCCGAAGACGGCGCCGACAGCAGCGGCGCGTGACGGGCGCTGTCTGCGCCGCGGAACGCCCCACTCTGTTCTGGCCAGGGCCAGGAAAACGCCCGCATCAACTCCCGGAGAAACAATGGAGGAAAAACGACGGTGCCCTGCAGGACGAGTTTCCCACGGCAAACGAGCGGTTGGCCGTGAGCTGGCTCCGGAGTATTTGGTCCACGAGCAAACCCGCAAAAATACTGCCGAGTTTATTAACATATCCCAGCTGTGACGAACCAATCTACATGCTTAGGCAACGAATGAAAATGCGAGTAAATCGTTCGCTTGGAAGAACAACGCACTGTGATGAGAAACTGCGCGTGATAACAGTGCCGACCGGTTGTCAGCTTAAACGGCGCTTGTTTAAACACTGGCTGCTGGCTGGTGAACGGCCTTGCACCCGCACTGAACCGTCAAGTGCGACGGACGGCACGCATGCCCTGAAAGCCTGCTGATGACGACCCTGAAACAAGCGGCGCTTATCGCGGCGGGTCGTGACCACACTACCTCTGCCGCGTCAAGAGCAGTGCGCTCGGGCGTGGCATTGGCTGTGCCCCCCCCCCCCCCCGCCCTCTCCCCTCTATCGCCGCCGGTCCCTTCCTGCTACGACAGGGTGTGGCCTTGCTGTACTATTTCTGATTGCATGCCGCTAAGTGAGCTGCCATTTTTTCAGGCGCGTCAGCGGAGGAGTTTAGAGGGTTTTCTGGAGGGCGCAAGGCGTCTGAAGACTTTGACTGCCCCGAAGAATTCGGATACTATCCCCATCCTACAGACTGCTCTAGATACTACGTGTGTGTGTTCAGCGGGGCGCTCGAGGAGTTCTGCTCCGACGGACTCGTATACAGGTGAGTGGCGCGGCGAGTTGACTGTCAAATTAATGAACAGGCAAGTACCACCTGCCGTGCCATGGGAACTAAGTGTTTCATGACTATGCAAGGAACTTGAGGAATTCAAGGGCTCGCGGCACGGAGCGGCATACGGCGCCAGGATGTTTATGCTTTCACAGATTAATGTCTGTGCACTAAACAGACAGTCAATTCAAGCGGGCATGTTCGGCATTTATTAGCACCGACAGGTGACATTCAGCCGTCCCTGGCCTGCATTGCGCCGCCCAGCAGACAACAGCCCGCTGACTTGCGGCCAGCTGTCGTTCGCTGATCGGATCACATTTCAGCGCTGGCCCGCCAGCTGACTCGTACTCAGCTGACTCGTACTCGGCCGAGTCGTCGCCGCCGCCCGGCCGACTCGCTCAGTCTCACGCTCCGCTCAGTCTCCGCTCAGTCTCACGCTCCGCCTTCAGCCCCGATCTTCTGACCTGCGATTGGCCCCGGAATGTGGAGGCCTGCCAGGACGCGGCCAGCGGCGCGCCCAGGAAGCCCAGCCCGGCGGCCAGCGGCGCGCCCAGGAAGCCCAGCCCGGTGGCCAGCGGTGGCCGCCCGGCCGCGCCCGCCCGCGGCTCCAGCCGCGGTCCCGCCCGCAGCCCCAGCCGCGGTCCGAGCCGCGGTACGAGCCGCGGCTCGGTGCGCGCCGCCGCCGCTGTCGCCGCCTCGGAGCCGGCGCCGGCCAGAGCACGCCAGGTGCCCGCTCGGCAGCCCGCCTCCAGGTGAGGTTCGATGAGACCGCTGCAGTGGGGCACGAGTGGACAGGGCAGCCCCGCACACACGAAGATGCTGCACGCTACGAAAAGTCTGGAACAACCTGCTTTCAGCTTTGCTAACATGGATCATTTGATGACCTTGCTTGGCCTACCTACGGGATCAAAAGTGTGCTGTAATGACATCTGTTGACAGTGATGTGTCTCCCAGTACGGTATTTGAATAAGTGCATCTGACATGTTGGTCACCAATTTCTGACTCAGTTCAGGCCACGAATCAACCTCTTTAGTTTAGAACAGGAAATATTTCAGACTGCCGGCATGCAGCCACCGCTTCCAACCATGCGTAGTTACTTTTCGGGCACCCAAACTCAGAGTAGAACAAAATGCGTCATTAAACCTCTTGCTAGTGACTGTAAGTCAGCTCTGATTTTGCTAAGAAAAGTTCACCGTTATCGCAGGGGACATAATTATGTCACGTAACAAGCGTTCCGTTGCCGTGTCCGCATGTGTCCGTTAGACCGCCTCTAACAGGATGTCTGAGCGTTATGGGCAGTCGGCTGGCTGCATCGGCAACACGGATCGATCAGCAATGTCGCGTGCAGTGCCACAACAATGTGCCGGCGCATGCAATATTGACGTCAGAATTGAACAATGGGTTATGTCGACATCTAACACCTGCCAGACGCCGCGGACAACGCCATCGCCACCGATTTCCAACGTCGCGCCGGCGGCAGCAGGATAAAAACGTTTGCTTTGTCTGGTGGCTTTACCAGCCACTGTACACTACAGTTAACGGCATTCTAAAATCCAGCATGGGCCGAGTACACAAATAACGCCATGCATATAAATGCAACCTGTTTGCCGGAGTGTAGATGTCTATCTACTAGGTGAACATTGCGTGTCTCTATATTAGTTCAAAGAGCCGCTCAGGCTGCAAGTAAATGCATACGCATTCACTCCCTTGTTGGCCACTTAACTCTTGAGTTGGCGGTATTTTGTGCCCGTGTCTTGTCTCATTAGGGCACTCAAAAGACCGACCCACCTATGCCACTCGGACAAACACTGGTCCGTCCGGTTGGCAAGGTCGCAGGAGCGGTTTTGAAATGGGTCTCGCTGTTGGCATCTCAGCGTCTGACAGACACACCCCGAGATCTTTACGCCACAATAGCCGCTCCGTACGGTCAGCAGATCAATCACAGCGATAGCGTCTTCGCGCAGCGCCCATTCTTATCTCGGGCGATTCAGCGCATCAAGGAAGCAGCAGCAAACATTTCACACCGTCATCGCCATCTCGCCACCATCTTCGTCCTTCATAATCGCTGATCGCGGAGATATGACGGGCTGCGATCCTGTTCTTCTCCACAAGATGATCGCACAACTGCGCCAGCGGCAGTCGGCCTACGCCCAGCACCCGCAGTTCCATGCGATCCACCACTCCCTGAGGCACTGACCCCTGACCTGACCCGCCGCGCAGGACGGCACCGGTGAGGAACAACCTGGACGAGCGGTTCGGCCCGTCGAGCGCGCGCAGCTCGCAGGCCGCGTTGGCCGAGCAGGCTCGCCTTCTCGGAGGAGTCGACCGCCGACCCAGCGACCTGGACGTGCGCTTTGAAGACGACACCAACGTGAGTTCCGAGCACAACCCGACGCAGTCGGCCGGGGTGACCCGTTGCCCGTGCAGGTCGCACGAGTTCGGCCTCACTGCGCGGATGGAGCACGTATTGCAGAGCGCCGCTGCGCCACTCTCTGTCCTGGAGATGGTATCGCGCCAGGCTGCCTCATGCCTCCTCCGTCGTTTGCCATCGTTCGCAATACGGGCTCCTGGCAGTCGCTCGTGTGCGGCGTCCGGCTGGCGAAGCGAACGGTACGAGGCGCCACGTGTCACGGTGGCCCAATCCACGCTGGATCTGGCCTGATCACGCGGCCCCACGGCTGGATTCGGCCCGACTGGGTCCGAGCTGGACTGACCGTTTGACTGGACTAGCCATGTCGGGCTGGATCTGGCTCGGCTGGGTCCGGCCTGGAGTGAACGTTGTACCGTACCAGCCGTGTCGAGCACGGCCGTGACGGGCCGAGTCGTGTCGGGCCAAGCTGGGCCGATCCCAGCGGCGGTTGGCCCAGCCATCGTGTCAGCCCCAGTCGTGTCGGAGCCGCGTCCCCGCTCGTCCTGAGTCAGACAGTACCAGACTGGCTTTTGGCAGCATCATGTACCGTGGATCTGCAGAATGGAGATACTTCAGGCTACCACAGTGCCGCAATGTTTGTCCCGTTGTTAGCACTACACCGCATACAGCATGAATATTGGAGGGGCTGTATCTGAAACATCGGGCCTTGTGCATTGAGTCCCGCCACATCTCGCTCCGTCTGATGTTTTGAAGCCATGTCCTCACGCGTGGCGTCCGCTAACGCTCCCCCCTCCCCCCCCCCCCCCCCCACCCCCGTCCGCAGAAGATCGTGACCCGCCGGCAGCAGCGTCTGTTCAGTCCAGACTCCAGCAGCGGACGGGGACGGTTCCAGCAGCCGGCCGTGCAGAGCCTGCAGTGAGTAGGCCCCGCAGGATTGGGCTACGTTCAGGGTTTTGTTTGACCTAGGGTTGTTATTCGGTCCTCAAAATATGCGATGGGCATGTGACTTAGCCCCCAGCATCTCTGACACCGCTTGTGAAAATGAGTGCCTAATGCCACAAATGACTGATGGCGTTACATCGCACGTTTCAGTTTTTGATCATGATGTGCACATGTTGACATTTTGTATACATTTATGCATAGTATAAAAACGTTTAGCCCCTTGGTCAACGGGAGCAAACGGGAGAACCTTCTTCCGGTAATCCTGTGTTTAAACAGACCTCAGTGACTCAGTGACTTGCAACGGCTCATGCCAGCTGGAAGGAAGCACCACGACCGCTGTACATACATGTGACTGCCTAATGAGCGACATGGACGGAAAGGGAAAGGCAGAGCACACACAGATGAACTAACACATTTTGAACCGGTCCCAATGTGGATGAAGTCATTAAAGATTGCGCGGAGTGCCGATCGGTGCTGTTCTGGAGAACGGCTGATTTCACCCGCTGAGTGTGTGGGACGTTTTTCATAGTTCATTGCTGGCTCAGATGTGTGCAAGCCGACGGTCGGAATAGTCCGCTGTCCAGACCGCAGCGCCACCTCTGCACTGCCTGTCCTCAACGCTAGGTCGGTCACTGGCGCTGAAACAGAGCCGGGTTAGAGTTCGGCACCGCAGAGCGGCCCCTCCGAGGCTCGGACCTCCGCCGGCCGTCTCGGTCCGCGGCTCCTCCGAGGCTCGGACCTCCGCCGCCCGCCGGCTGAGCTCGTGCGATTGGACTGCGTGGGGTCCGCTACAGTTTAACATTATATATGTGGATACTGACTACATGTAGTTGGTGGGTAACCACATAAGCACAGCACTGCATATGGACAAAAGCAAAACACGACATCACAAATTTCACAGGTGTCATATTTAATTGTAACGTAAAAGCTACTGTTAAGCCGAGGCATTATTCATGATTTATGATTGAGATCTCTCAAGGGCCCGCCCACTGGCGGTCTTTGTTCGCGCACAGTCATCGTCTTACAGCTGGCTCATGGACTTACCCTGTTAGTCACGGTCAATTTACAGGGCGTTGTATCGAGCGAACGGTGTCAAAAATTTTCGACATCAGGCTGGCGCGCGCCCACTGTTGACCTAGAGCCTCCCCGCGGCCTACTTGACAGGTTTGCTGGAGCATGCGTAACGAGCCCAAGGAGGCATCATTAGCGGCCCTACTCTCGGCCCATTTGCCCACAGCAGCTAGTCATGCGCACATTCTGTCTTCTAGCCACGCCTCTCCGACCAACGACAGCGACCGGATCGGTGAGACGACAGACGCTGACGGCCAGACTGACAGTGACGTCACGACAGACGGTGACGTCACGACGAGCAGTGACGTCGCGGTCGGCGGCGCCGTGCTGAGCGCGCGGCTCGGAGAGCCGGTCAACGAGAGCGACCCGACGGTGGGCGCCAGCTCGGCCGGACGCTACTTCTTCCAGTTGCCGCCGCCTGACCAGAAGGCGTCCGGCAGCCGGCGCGGTCGTCGCCTCTCGCGTCCCTTCATCCCGCAGCCGCTGCGCGCCGGCAATCCATTTGCGGCGCTGACACGGCCACCGCAGCGACGCCGCTCCGTCGACCAGGGTTTCAGCGGCCTGTTCGGCCGGTCGCCGCTCTCCCGTTCGCACGTGCACTTCGGGGCGCCGTTCGTGCCTTCGAGGCCGGACAGCCAGGAGGAGTACCTAGACCGCGACTACTACGGCCCGCCGCGCTTCTATGACGCCTACCCGTTCCCCGTGTTCGAGGACAACTTCCAGACGCAGATTTTCAACAGCAAGACCAAGGAGGTGGTGCGCCGGCCGCCGCCGGCGCCGCAGCCCTATCAGTTCCAGAACGACTTCCGACCTTCTTTCCCGGCGCCGCCGTACAAGACGTACGAGGAGGAGCGCCAGCAGTCGAACCCGTACCGCCCGTACTCGTACGACAGCGCGCAGTACGCCGACCCGTACCCCGAGGAGGCGTACCAGACGGAGCAGCCGCCGAAGGTCACCACGTACCGCCCATCAGTGACCCCACCGCGCCCTACCACCTACTCTCCCCCGACCGCGGAGCGCGAGCCGACTCCGACCGCCACGGATTCCTACGGTCTGGACCCGTTGGACAGCTGGTTCCCGGCCTTTCCCGTGCCCACCAATCCTGCGCCGCTGCCGCTGGAGCGACCATCCAACGCGAGCCGACCCTCGTACAGCGAGCACAAGTTCTTCGACCCGCTGCCGAGCGTGCCGCTCCCGCCGTACTCCCGACCGCGTCGACCTGACCCGTACGACACCTACGACTATGACGCTTACTATCGACCGGTGCCGACCAGCCCCTACCTGACATCTAGCGACGACGACAGCAGGTAATGGTCTCGCCGCTAGATGACACTGACATACAACTTGAGATATATAGTAAAAACTGCCTAATGCAAACGCGTCCGTATTCGACATCAGTGGCATGGATCGATATAATTGGCAGCTGTACGACAGTACTGAGCTTTTAGGGTGGTCTTGCGCATATGAAACACGTCACTAATAGCTCCTATTAGGCCCTCCATAAACCCTATAGCAAATGGACCTGCCCGCGCTGCTGCAGCGGTCATCGGCGTTCTCAGGTCTCCGTCCCTCGGCAGCCGGACCCTGTTGCCCTTCTGACGGCGGTGTCGCTCCCCACAGGGACAGCCAGCCCCGCGCCAAGGCCACGGCGGCGCCACCCATCCGTATCTCCACGCTCTCGTCGTTCTCGTTCGGTGACACTGGCACGCGCTTCCCGGAGCGCGAGCCGCGGCCGACGGTGGCCAGCCCGCCGCCGCGCCCGGCACCCTCCACCTTCGTCTCGTCGTCGCGCGGCTCGCCGCCGCCGCCGCCGCCGCCGCCCAGCGCCTTCCCGCCGTCGACGGTGACGGTGCAGACGGTGAACGCGCGCCGGCCGACGGCCAGCCCCACGCCGCCCTCGCCCACCGTGCAGACGTACACCGAGCCCGCCTACGTGGCCTTCGTCAACGACACCATCTACGACGTGTACTACATCTACGACGATGAGGAGGTGCTGTACGAGGACGAAGTGGCCACGGATGCGGCGCCCACGCGTAGGCCGCCGGCGCCCAGGCCCACCACCACCATCTCGGTGAGTACCGGCCCGGAGAGGAGAGAGGATGAGATCGAAACCGGAACAAGGAGAGGAGAGAGAGAGGGTTAGCGAGAGGGAGAGAGGGAGGGAAAGAGTGGAAGGAAGAGAGGGAAAGAAGAGAGGGAGAAGAGAGTGGATGGGAGAAAGTGGGAGAAGCTGGCGGGTGGGCATGGAAATGCGGTTATCATATGCATGCTATTAATGGCGAATAGTTTGCAGCGCGTTCGTGTAGCTGGTGTGGATTGTTCAGTTTTGATACCTTAAGTCTATATTTACCCGTGTCAAATCCATTTGAGATTTCGGACAGAATGAACAGTGTGTTCTCATGCTGTTCCACAGACGGCCGTGCGCAACAAGGCTACTCGGCCGACGGCGAGCCCTCCGCGGTAAGTAGCGAGACTCCACCTGCCGCACCGCGCGGGCAGCACAGCACGGCAGGTGGGGTGCGACGGCACCAGAAAACAACGCTGCCGCACCTCACACGGGTCCGACGGCACCAGAACACAACACCACCACACCGCACACGGGTCCGACGACACCAGAACACAACACCACCACACCGCACACGGGCTCGACGGCACAAGAACATAACATCACCGCACCGCTCATCGCCGCTTGTCCAGAACTCTCACCGCGCCCCGGTCGCACGGCGGCGGTTGGCGGTGTTGACTGCTGATGAGGTGCGGAGTCGCTACCGGCGCCCCGTCGAGGCGCGGCAGGTCAGGAAGCCGCGCAGGGGCGCTGCAGATGCTCCACGCAGCACAGCCTGTGACATCTGTGCCGATCCCAGAGACGCAAAGCTCACCCGTAGTGGAACACTGACATTGCTCCTGGGTAGAGTGACCAAAAGACTTCCGGCTAGCAGCGTTGACCTGTCGAGACAATCAACCCTTAGTGGTCATGCGATGCAGTTATGAATTTGGCTTTAGGTATTCGTGACCGTAGTTCAGTTCCTCTCACGAACATTGGCTACCCGTTTGTTCAGGTCATTACTGTAGCTGTCGACATCAGTAGATATTTCCGCATCCAAGGTGGTACCCCTCTCCCCGTCTTCGTGCTTATCGACTGTGCTGGTTATAGACGGACTCGGACACGAAAGAGGCAACGGACAAAGACGCGGAAGCCTGCAAAGACCAGCACCAAGACGACAGACGAGACCAAACCTACCAAACCACGCCGTAGGCGGCCCAGGCCGCGCAAGAAGACGACCACGACCGAAACCCCCACGACGACTGAGGCCAGGTAGATGACATCCTGAAGGAATGGCCGTAGACTGGCAGCAGGCCTCCACGACGGAGCTCACTCCGACGTTCGGGAGGCAGATCACGATGAGTTGAGGTGACTCTGCCCGAGAGGTGCTAGACAAAAACTGCGGTCGCATCGGCACCTGGTATCTCCTCACGGGTCCAGGTATCCGTCTCGCCGGAGAGGCCGTTTGATGTTGTCCCCTCGAGTTCCGTGCAGCAGCAGGATGCTGTGCCGTGCCAAGGACTCACTGCCATTTGAATGCTCCCGAGGCCAAATGCATACAAAGTAGCAGGCGTTTGTTGATTTCGTAACCTCAACAGCGTCTCGTTCTTATAAAGTTAAAAATGTCCTCGTAAAGAAACACCTCCGTCTCATCCGGTGACAGTCGTGACAATTGTGCCGACTTGAGGCTGTCCTTGGAGTGGAGCTTCGCATTCTCCCGACGCCAGCCCTATCCTTCAAACGCCAAGACAAAACAGCGGCGGCCCCGCGCTGACGACCGGCATGATGCGCGCGGCATGACACGGCGCGCGGCATGACGCATGCCCTGGAAGTGTGAAGGCATGGTGAATGGCGCACGCGGGGGACAGTGTGGCGGCTGGCGCGCCAACAGTGCACAGCATGGCTCTTATTAAGCCGCCGACCAACACACAGGTCGGTTGTGAGCTGTCCTCTGGCCCTGCTCTTTTGTCTTTAAGTCTATTGTCGTTCACATCCAGCACTTCGTGTCGCATCGTTCTTTTGAGACTGTCCGCCTGTGCTTGTGCTGTCAGGAGGGAGGCACCCCTGCTGCTACATCCGTGGTCCTATCCTGGGCGCAGACACGTTATGGCTTCCATGACATGGGGACGATAATTGTGCTGGAAGTGCATTGTGTGGCTTGCTATATTTACCGGTTTAAATGCTTACGTTCCAGCTCTAAAGATCTCACTGCTATTGCGAGCACGTGGTAAAGGCTTCTCGTGAGCTCATTTGCTTTTAATGAGCGCTTAATCTGCAGAACAAGCTCTCAAGTGACCCCTGAAATCACGATCAGATTAAGCAGCCACCCCACTCACTGCAGAGTGGCATACCACTCCGTACCTATAGTAACACTTAGTTCTAGGTGAGCTTACAGGATACTGTGCATTCGACAAGCTCCCGGGAGTTTACCTCACGAACTAATGCCGTCATCCGTCATCCGATGTTCCCGCATGACCAATAGAAGCCCAGGATGATGGTTGTTGGTCCGTGTGTCGCCTGCTGGTCTGTCTGTCGCCTGCTGGTCCGTGTGTCGCCTGCTGGTCCGTGTGTCGCCTGCTGGTCCGTGTATCGTCTGCTGGTCCGTGTGTCGCCTGCTGGTCCGTGTGTCGCCTGCCGGTCCGTGTGTCGCCTGCTGGTCCGTGTGTCGCCTGCTGGTCCTTGCGTCTGCCTGCCCTGTTTATATGTCGTCTGGCCGTCTGTGCAGTCGACACATCCGGGCCCAGTGAATCCCTGGCCTGCTTTCAAGCCCTGAGAAACTTGCATGCTCCTTTCTAGCAGCAGCCGGTTGACTGGACGTCCCCAGACCAGACTAAGGCCCACCGTCCGCCGACGAGTCAACGCTCCCCGCAACCCTAAACCCACCACCACCACCACCACAACCACCACCACCACCGCCACCAACCGCCGCGTTGTCCGACCCAGGTAGGTGTTGTGCTGAGCCGCCGCCGACTTCTGACGAGATCGCCCGGGCTGACCGGTGTCGTGCCCGTCTACCGTTAAGTGTGGTCTGTGGTGCTCTACCAATGTGGGGTAAGAGACTGTGCTTTCAAGGCCCGCCAAGTGTGCGCCGTGTCATGTAGTCAGCACGCTGTCGCTCCAGGTACGTCTATGTATGTCACGAGCACCACAAACGATCTTAAGTGAACTATCTTTTGCCTGATCTTTGACGACAACACAGGTGGAAGAAAGCGGGGACTTACGGGCACGGATCAGGCAAAACAACCCTTTGCCTTAAGATGCATGTGTCCCGTAGCCCTTCTGATTTGCAATACGTTGTTACTTGTGCACTTAAGTTTACTGGAGTGTACACAAGAAATTTGAAACAAACTCGAGCCAGCAAACTTAAATTTACTGAGACCTTTTACACCACTTTATATTAGATTCATCGCAATGCACTAGCCCCTGACAAGTTAGTCATTCCTATCACTTCCCGCCCAAACGTGATGGAGCGGTGTTTTCACCTCCTCGCGCCGCTCCAGTTTCAGCTCTGCTGACACCTTCCGCAAGACATCCACCACGGACCTGAGCTCGACGCGCGGCTCCACCCTCGGCTCCAGCTTCAGCTCCGGCTCGAGTCGCGGCTCCACCTTCAGCTCCGGCTCGAGTCGCGGCTCCACCTTCAGCTCCGGCTCGAGCCGCGGCTCCACGCGAGGCTCCACCGCCCAGTCCACGTTCGGCTCGACTCGCGGCTCGACGCGAGGCTCCAGCCGCGGCTCGACGCGCGCCCCGGCGCCGGCGCCGGCGCGGCAGGCGTCCAAGTCGACCGACCTCGGCAGCAGCCGGCGCACGCCCAGCAGCGGCCTCCGCTCCATCGACACGGGCAGCTCGCGCCGCCCCAACAGGTGCAGAGCGGCGGCGAGGCAGCGACGGAGGCGAGGGAGGGAGGGAGGGAGGGAGGGAGGGATGAAAAGGGAGGGAGAGGGAGAGAGGGAGGGAGATGAGAGAGGGAAGAGAGGAGGAGAGATGGAGGAGGGAAATGTGGGACGATTAAGGCGAGCGGGGTGAGCTCTCAGGGTCTCGGAAAAGTGCCGCTTTTGCGGATGAACCTTACTGATCTCCCTATTAAAAAAGATCGGCGGCCATGCAACTGAAATGTAGCCACCTTATGCTACGCAACGTATAGCCGTTATTTGAACTCCATATAATCGTTATAATAACCGTACATCCATGACCGAGTTTTATCAACGTTGTATACCAATTACATAACAGTGATGTGGTCATCTATTTAACCGTTTTACGCATTGCCGTGCACAGCTTTTGTGCAACCTTGCATGACAGTCATAGTCACATATCCTGATACAGTAACCACGAAATGTTTTCAAGTTGTGCCATGCAATTCTTGCAGCAGACCAAGCTTCCCGAAGAAGTCCAAGAACAGCGGAAGCAGAGGTGGACACGCGAGGCCGGCGGTCAACATCTGGGAACATCCCCCGTGGAGGTGCGAACCCTGCTGTGCCTGCGCATTGGAACGCGCTCTCGATCCCTGACCATCACGAGTAACATGCATGGATCAGATGGGTGAACACACGGCACCCTTGATGTATTGGCTCTATACATTTGTTGTTCCTGAACGACAGCTGTTTGTGCCCACGCTCTGACCAATATGTGGTGGATACGCGGGTTGGCGTCCCAGGGACAGCGCTGGCTTGACCCTCCCTCGACTGTCCGTGGAACTGGTCAAGGGAGGCGGAGCGAAGCAAGCGTGGCCTTGTTACAGCATTGCGTGGCATGTGAAAGCCTGTCGGCAAAAATATCCGTTGAACGGGGAAATTTCAATGGATATGGATGGATGTGTGTGTTGGGAAACGGGCTCATGTAATGGCAATGAATGGATGTGGTGGTAGGCAGGTTCCAGGAACTAGTTGTGCTAGCAGATCCCGTCCAACGCCATTCGTAACACTTGGCCAGATTAAAAAACAGGAGAGGGCGACCCAGAGGATTTATTTTGATAGAAGATGGTGGAAATGTGTGTTCATCGTGAAAAGGCATATATATATAATGTCCGCCTGTGACCGGTCTCATACGTCTCTGACCGGTCTCGTCCGTCTCTGCCCGGTCTCGCCTGTCTCTGCCCGGTGTCGTCCGTCTCCGCCCGGTCTCGTCAGTCTTTAACCGGTCTCGTCCGTCTCTGACCGGTCTCGTCTGTCTCAAACCGATCTCGTCCGTCTCTGACCGCTCTCATCCATCTCGGACCAGCTTCGTTCATGCCTGTCCGGTCTCGTCCGTCTCTGCCCGGTCTCGTCCGTCTCTGCCCGGTCTCGTCCGTCTCTGCCCGGTCTCGTCCGTCTCTAGCCGGTCTCGTCCGTCTCTAGCCGGTCTCGTCCGTCTCTAACCGGTCTCGTCCGTCTCTGACCAGTCTCGTCCATGTCTGCCCGGTTTCATCCGTCTCTGCCCAGTCTCGTCCGTCTCTGCCCAGTCTTGTCCGTCTCTGCCCGGTCTCGTCCGTCTCTGCCCGGTCTCGCCCGTCTCTGACCGGTCTTGCCTGTCTCGGCAGGCCCGCTCCTGTCTACCCGCAGCCGGAGCCCGACCAGCCGGCCGAGCGGTGTGACGCGCGCTGCCGACTCCCCGACTGTAACTGTGGCGGCACTGCCACTCCCGGTACGTACCCTCACACTCAGACGGGCGGGCCCTCACGAGGTCCGCCCTGTTCCAAGTCACGGACGCGCTGGTCGTGACGGGGGGGGGGGGGGAACGGGCTGTGTCGCTGATGTCAGCTCCGGCTGCTCGCTGCCGCGAGGTCATGTGGGTGCTCACGCACTGGCGGGATATGACACGGCAGGTGCTGCACTGCTGAACATTAATTTGAGTGTTCTGATCATCCGCTTATGACCCCTGTTTTCCAGAGTAAGAACCTTTCGATGCCTTCCATGGGACTTGCCAGCCAATTTGCGATCGCCTGTGCAGCATCACGCATGCCTAATCATATGACATCCGTCGATTGATGTAACTCTCGTCTAAGAAAATCGCGTTTGGAACTCAGCAATATTTCCAAAGTTGCAACTCGAACATTCTCACAGAATTACAGCGTGACCATGCTCCGAATTTGCCTTTACTGCTCAGAATATGAAGGTATAGTATTGTGTCTGGTATGTAAATGCGTTTGACAAGAACGATATGAAGGCGGCGTGGTGTGATGTGTGTGCATGACCGGAAGTTTCCTTATTAGGGAGAGCTGTTTTGAGCTTATAATCGGTAAGGGAAGTTTTATGAGCAGCATGTACTTGGATCATCACCGTGTGATCTCCAAGCCATTGTCAAAAAGTCATGTTTCTGTTTTCTCTTTATCGGCCTACTGTTTAAGAATCGAAAAAGACCTGCCAATGGCGATAAGCTGCCACGGCTAGCCCCGTGGTGCAACACAGCCGAGACACTCGTCCGCGTGGCGTGCCCCTGCCGTGCGAGCCGTGTCACTCCCACAACTGACATCGGCCGCCTGCCCAGGCAACCTCCACCCCGAGGACACGCCGCAGCTGGTGCTGCTTACCTTTGACGACGCCGTCAACGACCTTAACAAGGGCCTGTACAAAGGCATGTTTGAGGAGGGCCGTGTCAACCCCAACGGCTGTCCCATCGCGTCCACCATGTACGTGTCGCACGAGTGGACCAACTACGCGCACGTGCAGAACCTGTACGCCGACGGACACGAGATGGCCTCGCACTCCGTGTCGTAAGTAGCCGGTCCGCGCCGCGGCGTGCGGATCCGCCCGGGTCAGTGCGGATCCACTCGGGTCCGCCCCGGGTCCGCCGCGGTCGGCTGCATGCTCGTGCCTGCTGGTCTGGCCGTCCGTCCGTCCGTCCGTCCGTCCGTTCGTCTCTCAGTCTGTGGGTCTGTTCTGTCCACTCCACGCCTGCCTGCCTGTTCACGCGGCGCGGGGCAGCCGCCGGCGGGCCTATCCACTGAGGCCAGCGCCTGTGCCGAGGACCGTGAAGACTCCGCACGGCCGGCCACCTGGGCTTCTGGGGCCGCCCCTGGTCTCCGCCACAGCCTGGTCCGGCTCCAAACTGCATGTCTATCGGCGCGTCGGATAACGTCCGTGATAACACATGTGGGCACTGACGACTCAACACACCTTCTCAGCAGCATGCTGCATTAAACAGTCGGATTTGCACATCTAAACCACACTCTCGCCGGCCATCACTTCTCTTGACTCCGTCGAAGCAAATTCTCCACGTACTCGCGACTCAGCTGGGCACGACGTGGCCCGACCGGGGCCGGGGACCGCCGGGACTTTGAGTCGAACGCTCGTGCGCTCCTGGACGTCTGTCGTGGGGCAGTCCGTTGTGCAAGTCCAGCAATTCACAGTCAGCTGAGCGTGACCAGAAGGCAGCAAGGGCGAGATGCCGACGGCTCGAGCCGCCGAGGCTTCGTTCGCCGCCGATGCGCCACGTCTGAACTCGTTGTCGGCTTCCATCTGCCGCCATCCGCAACACTGCCTGGCTTGAACGTCGCCCTGTCTCAGCGGGGCCAGATAGGGAGCATGCACGGGTTGGTCAGGTCGTGTGGTCAGGGTAAAGTTCGCCGCTCTTTATCTGGACTTTCTTCAGGCTCGCAGGCGACTAAGTTTGCGGTCGCTCTGCACAGTTTGTTAAACTACCGGCATGAGTCAGATATTATGTTCTTCCCAGCGTCACCCCTTGCGTTGCCTTAAAAATCCAAGAATTATGCAGCAGCGAGCGTTGCCGGCCTACGGAAGGTGCACGTTACAAATAGCAATGGCATCACCATCAATTTCCTCCAACCAACTTGTTTTACTGGTGAGTCTACTGATATTCGCTTTGGGAGAAGGCGACGCACATCGTCATGCTCCTTTTACGGAGCGTCAACAACTGCATCGTCCATATCAGTGTTTGGGGCCATGGCGATCCACTGAGCCAACCAGCACTTCAAACCAGCCCACGTGGACATAGGTGGCGGCCGATTCATCATCGTCGGTATTCCATTCTTCCTCGCTTCTGATTTGAATGCAAACTCCATCGGTGAGCATGTTCAGACTAGGGCTGCGCGCCTCACTGAGCGGATAGTCAGCTATTCGGAACGCGTCGCACGTCGTTATGCGCCCTTCCGTGGAGCTCCAGGGACTAAGTTGGCGATATCAGTGTTCAAGGGCGATTACGCAAACTTTTGTCCTTTGCGTGGGATGCGATGGGGCTGGTCACTCGGTCAGCAGGTTCCGTGAGCGATCAGTTCGAGATGACGACTAGCGTGTCCTCCTCACCTACTACGCTAGTTCCAAGCCAGGCTGCTGCAGCAACGACAGGCTGTGATGCTCCCGAGTCCCGGACAGCGCGCGACGACGACTGACAGCTAACGCCGGACACACGACAATGGCGCCGCCTCGCGGGGCCTGGTTGGCGCTCCAGAGCAGCTCGCGCGGCGAACCTGCCTCCCGCGCCTCCGGCCCCGGCTGAGGTCGGCGGTCTGGCCGACCCCGTCCACCGCCAGCCGAGCCAACCTGACCTGCCCTGACCGGCGCTGACCTCGCCCAGGTGGCCTGGAGTCGCAGAACGTGCCGCAGCTGGTGCTGCTCACCTTCGACGACTCGGTCAACGACCTCAACCACGGCTTGTACAAGGACATGTTCGAGAACGGCCGTGTCAACCCCAACGGCTGCCCCATATCGGCCACGTTTTACGTGTCGCACGAGTGGACCGACTACAAGCAGGTGCAGAACCTGTACGCCGACGGGCACGAGATGGCCTCGCACTCCATCAGGTGAGCGGCGTCGGCAGCTAGCAGCGCCGGGCTTTGGGTCCTCGCCAAAGCCACGGGTCCTCACCGAGGCCACGGGCCGTGCGACTCGCGACCCTTTTTTAGGAGGCGATGGGATGGTGATTCAGAAGACGGGGCGCCGAGTGGGGCCTGTCGCAGGTGTTTCCACCGGCTGGTGATCGCTGGCTAGAGATGGCGCTAAGCCTGACCACTTTGTGCGTTCTCCAACGGCATGTGGTATCGCCTTCCAGGTGCGCCTGCATGGGGTCGGTACATGCCATCGCGTCTGTCACTAGCGGGCTCAAGGGTGACGCACTAAAAGCATGAGCGCCGAATGTTTTTCATGTGATGGGTTAGGGAATGATAGTGCCTCGTGATGTACGCTACATGTTAAATGAATCGGTAATTCACCTGCGGTAAGGCCAGACTACCATTTGAAAAATACGGGGCATGATCAAAAAAGCGTATTAGAGAGCATAGCCTCGATGTTATTTACATGCTATCGGATGCAACAGCACAAGTCCTCGTCGTGAGCCAATGCAGACAGACCAGAACACCCTCCGCCCGTTCACAGTCACAGCTTCGGAGAGCAGTTCTCAACGTCCAAGTGGGAGCGTGAGATCGCTGGCCAGCGTGAGATCATGGCCGCCTACGGAGGCGTGCGCATGGAGGACATTAGGGGCATGCGCGCTCCCTTCCTCTCGGTGAGTGGAGCACTCCTCACTCTGCGGATGGTGCAATCCATTAGAGCTTTTGGATGCGATGCTTTTGTGAGCCTATCCTGGCATCACATGGATATGTTAGACTGGTACACTCCATCGGGAAGAAATTGACCAGTAATCTGTGTGTGAAAATGTCAGCTCTGTGGCCTACCACACTCACAGCCTACACATTTTCAGATCGGAGGTAACCGGATGTTCAAGATGTTGTACAACAACAACTTCACCTACGACTCGTCGATGCCGGTGTATGAGAACAACCCGCCGAGCTGGCCGTACACACTCGACTACAAAATCCACCACGACTGCATGATCCCGCCCTGCCCCAACAAGGCATACCCAGGTCAGTCGCGATCCACCACGACTGCATGATCTCGCCCTGCCACAACAAGGCATACCCAGGTCAGTCGAGGTCCACCACGACTGCATGACCCTGCTCCCTTTGAGACAGGTCTGCCCAGGTTAGTAACGGTGATCCACCATGACTGCATGATCTCAGGACGGCCTGCCCCGGCAGTATCCAACCGGGTCAGCAACGGTGACCCACCCGGCTGTGTGATCTTGCTCCCCCCTCCCCCGTCCAGTCTTGTCTGCCCAGGCTAGTGACCGTGATCCACCACCAACGCACGATCCCAGGAAGCCCTTCCCCCGCAGGAGTTGACCAGATCAGTAACGCCAATCCATCACGACGACACGATCCACCTGTCCTGCCCCAACCAGGTCCACGCAGGTCAGAAAATGGAACGTGGTGGGGGGGGGGGGGGGGGAGGGGACAGAAGTTGTCCCGCAGTGTCGCGGTCTTCTCAGCGGGCTGAAGCCCCGCGAAGCCGTGATGAGTGTTCTCAGGCGCATTCTCGAGAAGCTTTCCACTTAACTGTCCTGTGAAACTACCAAGGCTCAGGTTCCTCGATCGACTGCGCGAGTCTAACAATACCGGGCTGGTACAGGTATGGACTACACCTGTGTGTGTGTGTGTGTGTGTGTCCGACCTGTCCGTGAGTTGAGCGCCGTCTGCCGGTTGCGGTGACTGTCGGCTCTGAAGCGTGGCAATGTCCCAGCCGGGGGGCGGGTCCCGCTCCCAGCCGGCCCCCAACTGGCAGCTGCTCCTCCGCGGTATTGCGACGCTGACTTCGCTGCAGTGGACAAGGCTGTGCACATGACAGAACTCTTCCTGTGCCGTGTGCGCGTGCGGGCTTCGGAAGTAACGTCGGAGTCGGACGGCCGCAGACTCGTGACCTGACCCGACCTGATCTGACCTCTCAGGCGTGTGGGAAGTGCCGATGGTGATGTGGCAGGACCTGAGCGGCGGTCGCTGCTCGATGGTCGATGCTTGCTCCGCTCCTTCCACTGCTGAGGAGGTATACAAGATGCTGATCAAGAACTTCGAGCGTCACTACACCAGCAACAGGCGAGTCAGAACTCGATGGCATTGAAAGATGCAACACCAAAGTCTGTGGGCTGGGCTGGCACCATCTTATTCCAAATAGGAATGGTGTATGTAGGCAATGAACGCGGGAGTAGGGACACGGTTGACTGGGCATAGGTCCCTAGCCGTGGTGACTGCATCCTCTATGGACGAGTAAGCAGGTGCCCTTGGCTTAAAATGATCTGTACGATCTGTATAGCAAGATAGCATGATCACTTTCAATTATGTTTTGACAAGGTCTCGGGCTCTTCAGAAAAAAACCGCTGTGGTGTCTCGACTGCGGTCTGAACGGTGTGGCGTCCCGTCCGGTGGCGCTGGGCCGCCGGGCGTCTGGCTCTGGTGGTGTTTGAAGCCAGCTGACAGAGCCTGCTCACACCGCAGAGCCGTCTTCCCGCTGTACTTCCACGCCGCCTGGTTCACCACCGAGCACCACAAGGAGGGCTTCATGGCCTTCCTCGACACCATCAGCAAGATGGACGACGTCTGGCTGGTGACCAACTGGCAGGCGATCCAGTGGGTGCGCGACCCCCAGCCGCTCAGCACCGTCAAGAGCTTCAAGCCGTTCGGCTGCGACTACCCGGTAAGGAGCTCGTGCGATCCGACCGCGGTGCAGCGCGCGGGACAAGCCGTCACCAGTTCCCAACAGCTTGAGACGCATCGTTTAAGTTTCTTGATCGGCAGCCAGCGCAGCCATTGGCTCGGCATCCGTTCTGCGCCAGCGAGCGATGCCCGGGTGCGATGCAGCATAGATTCGGTGGCGCGCAGTAGCGCGGTTGTACCACCCGCGCGCCGTCACAGCGCCTTGTTACACATGTGATCCGTGTCTGTCACAGTGAGACAGCGTAGTCCATCGCCGGTACCTAACAACCCCCACCCCACCCCCAGGAGCGTCCCGCCCGCTGCGTGAAGGCGCGCAAGTGCAACCTGTGGCACAAGTCTGGCGTGCGCTACATGACCACGTGCCAGCCGTGCCCGGAGAAGTACCCGTGGACCGGCAAGACGGGCGTCAGCCGACCCTGAGCTCGACCGCCGGCCGGTCGGTCCCACTAACTTATACCGGACAATGAGGTGGTGTGCGCGCGCGCGGGTGAAGTGGAGACGCCGCGCGGCGGCGCCCGCGAGGTGCCCGGCGCGCCGAACGCTGTCGGCGCTGGACATGTCTGCGTCTCGCGTGCCAATTACCGTGATACTGCCGCGCAGGGCACGGACCGTGACGTCACTGTAGCCCTGCCGCCGCGCCGCCCGGCGCCGCTGCGCGCGCAGCCGCCGGGCGGGCGCCCCCTCTCCGTCAGCTGGCCTTGTTTCAGTCTTGCCCGCGAGTGGCGTGCTCCCAGGCCGAGTGTTGGGCTCGCAGATTCTTACGCGCAGATGGGAGCGAACGTAGACTTGGTCCTTCCGATCATTGTACCAAGGCATTCCGCAATGCGTAGATGATTTCACCCTACGTGCAGCAGCACATAGCAGAGGATTAAGCTAGCAGGGTTCAGACACATATTATCATGTGATATGAAACTTGAAATACAGGTTAGTGACGTAATCGACGTTTGTATTTGTTACATACCTTCAATACGAGTGGCGGCGCGGACAAATACTGATATGGAAGCAACGACTTGGCAAGACATCAGCCGCTGCTGAACAAGAGGCCAACAAGTGATCTGAGAAATACGTCCAGGTCACAAACAGCGATTTTCACACCTCTCAACTGCGCACAATTTCCTCACGCAAAACTGACGTCGCGTGAGAAACCACGACAGCGACCCAGCACCCCGAAGCCTCCACAGAATATCACCCTATTGGCACTGCCCACCGGCCTGCTCCATCCTCCGCACCCTCAGATCTTCTACCCCAGTTCTCGATCTGAGCCTTCGAGCCCGGCCTAGCCGGGGCGATGCGCGGAGCCGGAGGTGCCCTAGCCGGCGACCGCCTGCTCCGCCAGGTCACGCAGCACCGAGCCGCTGATGTGCTGCAGCACGCGCTTCTTGATGGGCGAGTCGTTGGGGATGTTGAAGCAGCCCACCACGAACTGGGACAGCACGCCGGCCGACGCGTCCATCTGCTGCAGCTGCCAGTCCATGGTGGCCGAGGCCGGCCCGCTAGCCGGCTTGGCCTCCGCCTCCATCCGACTCGTCATCTGGCCCAGATAAGAAGCACTTCATCAACATCACGTCCATAGGCATTGCCAAGCTGATGCATTCTCACCAACGGATGGCACACAAATACATGGCGGGTTCAGCAACAGCCTCACAGTAAAACAAAAAAGAAAAAAACATTGGACGGCAAGTCTACCCAACGTCAGGCCAACTGCTTCACTCCACGTCAGCGCCCTGAGCGTTCCATTCACCTAGAACCCGTAGTCATCAAGGGTCCATGGTTATGCCACCCTCACCGACGCCGTGTTTGGCAAAGCCCCCATCACGCCCACTGCTGGCTCCAAACTGCACGCTGCTGATCAGCAGAACACTGATATGTTATCCCCCATCCATGGTAGCCATCCCTTTGCACGCCACGGTTTTGGCCGCCTGGCTGCAGGCCGTCCAGTTCGGTGCGACGCACTTGTTTGATGAACTCGGCCGTGACGAAGAGCGCCAGCAGCTCCAGCGGCTCGCGGGCGGTCTGGTCCGACACCAGGGTCATCAGGTGCGTCAGCGGCAGGAACACGGCCGACAGGTCATCAGCGTACCGCTCCTCACCGGTGCAGGACTCCAGGGAGCGCTGCAGGGAGAGAGGCACGTCACCGACACACGATTCGATCCGATCCGCTCCTCACTGACACACGATTCCAGGGAATGCTGCAGAGAGGGCAGGGATCAGATACGTCACCGAACCGCTCCTACCGGTACACGACTCCAGGGAGCGCTACAGGGAGGACAGGGGTCAGACACGTCACCGTACCGCTCCTCACCAGTACACGACTCCAGGGAGCGTTGTAGGGAGGGAAACACGCCACCGTACCGCTCCTCACCAGTACACGACTCCAGGGAGCGCTACAGGGAGGACAGGGGTCAGACACGTCACCGTACCGCTCCTCACCAGTACACGACTCCAGGAAGCACTGCAGGGAGGACAGGGATCAGACACGTCACCGTACCGCTCCTCACCAGTACACGACTCCAGGAAGCACTGCAGGGAGGACAGGGATCAGACACGTCACCGTACCGCTCCTCACCAGTACACGACTCCAGGAAGCACTGCAGGGAGGACAGGGATCAGACACGTCACCGTACCGCTCCTCACCAGTACACGACTCCAGGAAGCACCGCAGGGAGGACAGGGATCAGACACGTCACCGTGCCGCTCCTCACCAGTACACGACTCCAAGGAGCACTGCAGGGAGGACAGGGGTCAGACGATACTTGGTGGCGATATCTATGGTTACCCTCCGAGCGGCTAAATTAGCCGAATGCCTCACCGTCTGCCCATTCCAACGAACTATCAGAACTGGTGCTCCCGAGCACATCAACAGCTCATCGGTCCACGAGCTCGCCAGCTACACGACTACAACACCCGAAACACAAATCGCGTAACACAGTCTCGAGCCCGCACCGGATCATGCAGGCGCCGACGGTGTATCGGAGGGGTCATTATGCTGAACCGTACCAGTATTGATTCGCATATACCATCGTTCAGGAGATTTGAAGCATATAACCCTGTCTACACGTCACTGAAAAGTTTGAGAGTGCACGTCGTGAGCACATCGTGCTTCAATAAGGTGGGCCAAGACTTTTCTCAGCACTTTACCTTTATTGGCGTCTCAGATGAAGGCACTACGGTTGCGGATCGCCCATGCTGAATCTAAATATAAACCTGGGGCCTCCGTAAGCACGGACCACTTAACGTGCACGTGGTGCCCTGGCCACGTCGACCACGCGTGCCGCCGCCAGTCACAGACACGGTACTGGGCGCCTCGTCCTGTCGTTTCCCCACCACAGGATGCAAGAATTACCAAGCATATAAATGCAATTCATCCAGCTTGACTAATCTCTGAAGCCCGCGGCCGGTCCCCGCCGTTACGGCGCGTGCCCGTGCGTCGCTCGCCCGCCGCGGCGTCCCGCCCCGCTGCCACCCACCTTGACCTGGACGGCGACGGCGCGCAGACAGGCGGCCAGCCGGTCGGCCGGTAGGCGGAGTGACTCCTCGGGTGGGGCGTCCTCCGCCGGCGCCGTCCACAGCGTCACCAGGTCGCCGTAGTACCAGACGGTGCGCGCCAGGGGTCGCTGCTCGGCCGCGGCCGCGGCCGCCGCCGCCGGCGCGTACGGCACCGAGCCGCTGTTGTACTGCAGCAGGCCGGCGTGCAGCAGTCGCCACTCGTCGGCGCACAGGTACGGCAGGTACTGTCGGGGCGGGGAGCGCTCAGGGAGCTGTGCTGTGCGCGGACATAACATCCACATCCCAGGCACACACATCCCACTGCACTGAGGCGTCAGCCTCACATGTTTACCGATCGGTGCCTTGGCACTGTCCCTCACGCCTCACAAACCACCCACGGAGTGCTCTATTTCAGCGCCGTTCTGACACGGGCCATGCAGCCCCGGCGCCACCGCCGTCCGACGTACCGATGCGAGCGTGGCCTTGAGCAGGGTATGGTCGTCGGGCCGCCAGGGCGCGGCGGCTGGGTCGGTGAGGCAGCCGAGCAGACCGGCCGGCTCGGCGGCGCCGGGCAGCCGGCCCAGTAGGTACCGCTCCACGTACTGCTCTGTCACCGGGTGACAGCGGGCAGCCAGGCCGGCCAGGTCGCCGTCGCTGTCTGGCGGCCGAGACAGGAGGACGTCACAGCAGCCATGCCGGTCCGTCAGTACCATGACCGACTGCACAGCAGAAGCCTGCGGCGGCCTTCGGACATAATGCACAGCAGGTGCAGCAGCTGCTGGTAAGGTTTACTTTCAGGGTATCGAGCTACTGCCATTTGTTTGTCGCTGATTTTTGGCAATATCAGATGACATCCGCCGAACTTCGACACATATTTTCCTAGTCCGTCAATACACTGAATGTATTGCACACACACACACGCACGCACGCACGCACGCACGCACGCACGCACGCACGCAACCGTCCACCCTCCATCGTCAACCGTCCACCGCCACGCGCCTAACCGTACCGTCCACCCTCCATCGTCAACCGTCCACCGCCACGCGCCTAACCGTACCGTCCACCCTCCATCGTGAACCGTCCACCGCGCCCCTCACCGTACCGAGATCCTCAACGCCCTCCATCAGTCGCAGACACTGCAGCGCCCGCTGCCGCTGCTCTAGCATCGGCTCGGCCGGCGTGTCCAGCTCCAGCGTCCGGTCCAGGGCGATGACGCTGAAGCGGGCCAGCGGGCGGCACCAGCCGGCTTGGCGGGCCACGCCGCTCTCCAGCAGGTCCTGTGCCGGCGGCCGGTCAAAGCGCGCTCACCGCTCACCGCTCACCGCACACCGCTCACCGCACACCGCTCCAGGTCAGGCACCCGGCCAAACACTGACGTCATAGCAAAGATAGGCATCATGATGGCTGAGTGGTCACCGCTGATACAGCAGGACCAGAAAGCGAAGCAGGGACCAAAATCTGATCGCAAACAAAGCTATGCAGGCTGAAGACTGCGACGGAGAGCAGCTGGACACCTTCAGACTGGTTCGGCCGCACTGACCACCAGCCGAACCCCGCCGCCGCCACCGTCTGGTGGGGCAGACGATATACGCATATAGGGACCTAGACACACTCACACTCACACACAGAGACAGACCCATACAGAGACAGACCCACCTGCACCAGCTGCAGTGTGAGCGGCTGGGGCGCCGGCAGGGCGGCGAGGCGCTCCGCCAGCGGGCCGTCCAGCGTGGTCAGGCCGCAGCCGGCCGCCGCCGCCAGCAGCTGGCCCAGCCGCCGGAACGGCTTCGGCTCGCTGATCGCCGTCAGCTCCTCCACCACCAGAGACTCTGCCCGGCCGCAGCGGCGAGGTGAGGCGATCCCCAGTCTCGCCGACGCCAGCGCCCACGCGAGGCGGGGTATCAGGGGAACTCACACACCACAAAATTACTCCCCAGTCTCGCCGACGCCAGCACCCACGCGAGGCGGGGTATCAGGGGAACTCACACACCACAAAATTACTCCCCAGTCTCGCCGACGCCAGCGCCCACGCGAGGCAGAGTATCAGGGGAACTCACACACCACAAAATTACTCTCCAGTCACGGAGGCGGTCAGCCGATTAGCTAATTGCCGATGTGCCGACCAGCTAATTAAATACATCGGGCGCTTTCTGGCCTTGATTCAAGACACGGCAGCAGACCGTCACGGAGACAGACCAGCTCCCCGGACCCAGACACGGCAGCAGACCGTCACGGAGACAGACCAGCTCCCCGGGCCCAAACACGGCAGCAGACCGACAAGGAGCGGGACTAGCTTCCTGGGCTCAGGCCCGGCAGCTCCCGCCCCGGTACCGCGCGTCCTCCGCGTACCCAGCAGTCCAGCCGGGCCGGCGCGCAGCAGGTGGAGCGGCAGCCGGCGGCCGAGCGGCGCCAACAGAGCCGTCACCATGGCCGCCTTGCCGCTGCTCTCGGCCGCCTGCAGCACCAGGGCGTGCAGCAGCGGCCGGGCGCTCTGCAGCAGCAGCGCCGCCAGCTGCCGCACCGAGGCCTGCAAAGAACGACAGACGGCGGTCAGAGGCGCCGCCCGTCGCCGCTCACGGCGTTGGGCAGCACTGTGCCAGCCAAGCTCCATAGCAACGGAACAACGACCGGAACGGCAGAGATGGCGACTCGGAGGCTCCTGTCGCCACACCAGCTGACGTCATATTCGGGGGAGGTGACGCCTATTCAAAGGCGGTTGCAGCTGGAGGTCATTGCATGCAGTGGCCTTGCAACAACGACCACCCGCGGTTCCCGCGTGAGCCGTCGGCAGGCTGACCTCGCTGACCGAGTCGTCGGCCGCGCCCACCAGCTGTGCAGACACCGTGCGCAGCTCCTGCTCCCAGGTGGTGGTGCGGAGGTCGGGCGCCGACGTCAGCACGTGCTCCAACAGGCGGCGGCGCTCCTCGCAGGCCGGCTCCGTGAGCAGGCAGTCCAGCAGCACCTGCCACATCATCAGCAGGCGCGGTGCAATGGCGACAGAGGCAAGGGACAACACGGACAATGGCCATGGTGCTCGAAAGGATGAGGACGATGCAACTGGTACGCCCATGCGGCGGACATGTTAGCTGCGGCATGCTAGCTCACTGTCTCCAATATACTCATGCCAGGTATCATGTGCACTGATTCTGACCAAATATACACGCAGAAGATGGCCAACTCGTATAGCACAAAATTACAGGCGATGCTGTCTAAACTTGTTACAATGAGACTAATACGCTGCAATAAACTGCAAAAAGACCATCCATGTGCAATGGCAGGCAATTCTTACGACGCATCACGGTCGCCACTCTAAAAGCCTTGAAAGGCAACGGTACCCAGTCCAGTGTTCGCTGAAATACGGTGATGAATCCACGGATAGGACCATGGCACCAATCATACCGCAGCACCCACAGAAAACAGGGCAGCGCACTACGCAAACGCACCTTGATTGTCCTATCGCGGAGCTCGGCCGGCCCGTCAGCCGACTTCAAAACGGCCTCCAGCAGCCTCCAGAGGCCGTCCACCGACACCCACTCGACGTTGGCCTCCAGACACTGCACCAGCTCGGCGTCCGCCGCGTCGAACTCGGCCAGCAGCGCGCCGAAGTGTTTGCGGCTGCGCTTGCCGCGCTCGGACACGGCGCGCAGCCGCTGCTCGCGACTGAGCTCCTGCTCGGCGGCGAAGTGACGGCACGTGTCGAGCAGCCGGTCCGTGTCGGGCGGCAGGTGCGCGCCGCGGCCCTCGCGGCGCGTCTCCTCCACCAGGTCGGTCACGTCCAGCAGCGCATCGGCCACCGCCGCCTGCAGGCTGGGGTCGCCCGGCGCCGCGCCGGCCGCCGGCTCCGCCCACTCCAGCCACACGCTGAGCGTCACATCGCGGAACAGGGCCGTGGCAGCGGCCGTGGCGGCGGCGGCGGCGGCGGCGTGGGCCGGCCGCCCGCCGGCGGTGTCCCGCAGCAGCAGCAGCAGGCAGGCGGTTAACGCCAGCGCGTGCCGGCCGTCGGGCACGGCCGGCGCCGCCGCCAGCAGCGCCAGCAGTCGCTCGGCGTCGGCGGACGCCGCCGGCAGCAGCGCCGGCCAGCGCGCGCCCAGCTGCAGACAGGCGCGCAGAGCGCACGGCACGGCGGGCCAGCGGGGCGGCGCGACCTGGCAGCAGGCGGCCACCATGGCGGCGCACAGCGCGCCGGCCGCCGGCTCCTCGCTGTCGCGCAGCAGCCGCAGCAGGCTGTCTTCCAGCCCGGCCGGCAGTGCCGCCAGGTACAGCGCCGGTGGCACGGCCGCGCCGCCCAGCTTGGCTAGCGCCGACTGCACGTGCTGGCTGGTCGCGCTCAGCGGTGCGATGCCCGACGAGGCCAGCAGCAGGTTGTGAAGGCTTTGCAGGGAGGCCTCATTGGGATGTTCCTCAGCTATGCATTGTGTCATGTAGGTTGTGAACTTGTCCACTGAGTCTTCTGTCAAACAATGTTGGAGTGTTATTGTGTATATCAATGTTTGCAATGTATGATTTCATTTGATCTGCTGCAAACCACCTTACATTTAACTTCTTGCAGCAAAATTGATATGACATCACTACTACTGGCACTTACTTATGTGCACAATATCAACACATACATGTAGGTCCAACCTATTGCAGTATGCCACAAGTCCTGCCAGATAAATATCTGAAACCCACATGCTTTTTACTTACCCAAATCAGTTCTGAATGATGTTTTATCTTCATTTAGATGTTGAATGAGATATCCTTGAACCCTGGCAAGAAGAGGACAAAACTCCACCTGGATATCCATCCTTAAACCTGCAATTACCAGAAAATACCCATGAGACTTCTGCCAGGGTCATGATATACACATATACATATATACACACACATACATACATACATACATCCTTCCATACACACACACAGAAGGCACTTTGACAATGAAGAAGATGAGACAACCAACCAACTATCCAACTGCATCATCAAAACAAAATAAATCTTCCTACAAACAGGATGCAAATACTCTATGGAAAATTATCTCTCAAGATGTAAAAGGTGAGACTGACTACAGAGTAGACATTATCACTAATCATTGCAACAGGTAAATATCATGCTTTCTTATGAGGAACAGCCTGACAAACCCAACAAACTAAAATGCACCAATGCAGTGCATTAAACAAAATGTAATGCTAAAGGCTACAAACTTCAATTGATACACTACGACCCAGATGATAGACATTTTATCATAAATTTTGGCATCAAGTGTTTCACATATCACCATGGTCAACAGCTTCACACATCAACCAAGTCCAGCAATGAATGTTACCAGTCAGTGATGAAAGATTCTCAATATTAGGCAATGAGCATGGTGTTCCTAACTGGAGAGAAATTTCTCTGAGGAAAAAATAGAATGGTATGAGGGAAAGTTGCAACAGTCACATCACATCTGAGTCACAGAGGTAACTGTCCAACCAGCACCAATATATTGGTGCTGACCCTACCAAAAGGTGATATCCCACATGCAATGCATGCATTGCATGAAATAAGCTGAAAAACTGCAAATGAACATTGAGTATGTATGTACATAGAGCACTTCAACATAAGTGCATGATACTTAATTTCAGTTGTGATTTGATGTGTACTCTGCTGCTGCAGCTGCTGTGTAGCTCACTTCAATGTACCTATCAAATGTTGATATGTTTCTGTTTGCAGCAGCATGTAAGAATACGTGGGGCGTATGGTATGTGAAGTTGTTTCATATGGGGGAAAGTATGACAATCCATCCAGAGGGAAGTGGGTCTAACAGTTGGGATGCGCTAGAATGGTGCAAAGTTTTCAGCAATTTTCTTACGCGTGGTTGGTTTGAAAACTTTATCAGTAAAACGACGCCGCAATCAGCGGTGTGTCATAACGTCACTCAAAATACTTGATGGGTAAAGGACGTGTCTTCACCACATTTCGTACTGCATTAGTATGCTGGCTGTAGTTGAAACTTTCAGGCCATAAATGTCTCAAAGGAATCGCCAAAAAGGGTACGCTCGTTCGGCATAATTTTACGTGAAATCGTGCATGATCTATGTTGCTCAGCTACCAGATAGACGGATGAGCCAAAAATCACTTTCAAGCGAATTTCACAGCACATAGTACCGTTCCAAATTTCCAACATTCCATACGATACCCTGGGATGAGCTGTTGACCGAACGCGCCCTTAGTCGGTGCTCAATGCACTGCAAATGTTTCACGGTCTCTAGATTTGTGTGTTGGTGCCGAGTTTAGTCTGTGATGATCAACTCTTCGGCAAAAAGATAGGGGAAAGACCATAGAAGCTCTGAACCCTGAGATAGGAGAAGAGTGGTCGGGTGGGACACCCACCAGGTATACAGCCGAGTTTAGTCGCTGGGCTGATAGATATGACCACAAGTATTTTGTAGCGACTGTCATCCCTTTTTTGCATCAATTGCAGGCGGTAGGGGCAGAGCTATTGCGAACTAACATATTGCGAATATTGGGGAGGGGCTTGAATCCCTTCCCCACCGATCCCCCCCCCCTCCCCCATCTAACATCTCGGAAATTTCAGCACTATGGTTATAGTTGTGGATGGGGAGAAATTGCTTAAAATGTCTCACAGCTTCCCCAATCATGTATGAGTTTTTGTGCATCTCCTGCAAGCTTTTGTCCATGTGGGCACAAAATCTTTAAAGCATAAACTGAATTGAGTAATAATTGTGCATATGAAACCACCAAAACATCATTTTTGCATTTGTGGGGGTCATAACTTTACAATGTTGGTGTTGAAAGCACTTCCAACTCCCACTTAGTCCAAGTGCTAACTTGGCCTGTGTACTGGTGTATGTGTAGTTGTATGCTTGTGGGTGATTTGATATTTTGTTCACACTTGTTTAAATGATGCAAAAGCTCAGCTTTCAAATGATACAGGAAGGTTAGATGTCTTAATTGTCTTGATGTATGATATTTAAAGTCCATTAAGCCTGTTAAGTGCAAGGTCAATTGCATGATAGAAAGTCAGTACCACAAATTTTTTTGGTAAATCTGACAGGAATTTGATATATATCGTACACTCGGCTTCCTAGTAGTGATACTACCACTTGAGCAATACCACCAGTCAACATTGTTACCAATATTTACCATTGAATCGAATGACATCATGTTTTAATTAACTCCAGTCTCAACTCTGACTTACTCAAGAAGAGCAAGAAATTTTATAAGCTGAACTGAGATTTGAGGTTGATTTCTAGGCTGACTGACTACATAATGAGTTAGGAACACCCTGAGTCTGACTGCATGCTGACCAGCTACACCAGGAGTCAGGAGCAAGTCTGGGTCTGAATTCACCCTGAGTCAGACGCAGTTTGACTCGGACCATACCCTAAGCCAGGAGCAAGCCTGACAGATTTTACTGGCTTCTCTTGCATTGATGGGGGCTGTAAAGTTTATGTGGGAAGCTATGATTGTCCCTCTGTTCCATAGTTTATACAATTAACCTATTTTGGTTAATCAAGTTGCCCTTCAAACAACCCTTTGCCTATAGAAGTACTGAGCATGCATTTTATCAGTTTTTTTATAGCACAAAACAAGTAACTGTTTCCCACCCCATCCCCAGGTTTTAACACAATCACACTGGCCCTCACAATTCAAAATTGGCATTGCCAGACCTCATTCAGTTAAAACATCAGTATCCTTCTCCTTTCCAATTCTCTCACATGCATACCATCAGTCATTCTCTCATATGCAAAACTTGCTGACAGGCTTCTGTGACTGCTGATTGTTTGTGCTGGGTGCTGGAGAGCAGCAGGCTATTTCCTAGCATGTGGTGCACCATGGTGCAGGGCTGTGGCTGGCTGATGTCTGACAGCCCATTTGGAGTGTCCAGGCCAGGGCAAGTGTGTGCCGCTGCTAACAGGGTGGCAGCGGCTGTCTGGTGTCTACTAACGGGGTGGCAGCGGCTGTCTAACGTCTGACGGCCCGTTTGGAGCGTCCAGGTCAACGCTGGTATGTGCCGCTGTCGGCAGGGCGGCGGCTGCGACGGAGCGACATGCGCTCGCTGATGGCGGCCTCGCGCGGTCCGCAGCGGGCGCTGGCCATCACGCTGGTGCTGGCGCTGGTCGCCTTCGGACTCCACTACTGGCGTTTACGCTCTGCCAGCGTCGACCTGGCGGTGGAGCTGGATCGGCTGGAGGGCCTATTGCAGAGGGCGTGAGTGCCCCGCCCCCGTCGACCGATGCCCGGGTTCTTTCACTAAGCGTGTTGGCAGATGATATGCAATGCACAGATAAGAAATCAATGCCCAACATTAAGGAGCCAATACAGCAACAGTTGTCAGCAAACTCCCAATTCCAATTCTCTGCCAGCTCCTATGGCTGAATAGGTATCTCAGTCTGAAACCTTTGGTGTCTTTTGATGCAGGCAATGTATCTTAAAGGGCCCTGTGCATATTGCTAGTATGTTTAATATGCAGTGCAACATGCTGCATACAGAGAGGAAAAATAATTAGATATGGTTGTATTTCCTCACGGCATTTACGTTATTGAAACCGACTCCAAGACGCTGGAAGCCAACAAAAAAGACACAAGAAAGGCGCACTTCTGTGGAGTGTCTCTTAACCTGTCGGCCTGGCATGTTGTATATGTCGCAAATTCCGCGCGAAATCCAGTCCTCCAGAAAAGCTGCAAGTGACAAATAGAGCTCACTTTGCTGATCAACATATCTTGGCCTTCAGTTTATCAGGATTTGTACCGGCAACTGAAGACATCGATTTTTGTTGACTGTAATTTAGAATGTTGCATCGGTCCCACAAAAAATGTCTGCAGCTTTTCGGAATGTGGCTTAAGGACAAGTGCCGGTATTGCCCCTCGCCACCAGAGAGCATTCCTCACCTGTTTTGGTCATGTGGTATAGCCCAGAGGTTCTGACACGACTTGAGTGGTGTTTACCAAACCACATGCATAAACAAAACCAGCATCACCTGAAATGTGTGGGAAAGAACGGAAGACAGGGCGAACAGTCAGTATGACCACTAGCAATCCTAGCCAAAGCAAAAGCGCACTTGGCTGCGCAGAAAACACTCAGTGCACCCACATCTCCAAAGTACTATCCGATGCATTGGTGGCTGCATGCAACGTACAGCAACATATAGGTGTTCTTAGGGGGACGCCTGAGGACACCAGTGACACGTTCACTGGGAGTCCTAAAGAAAGGCAAGGTGGCGTGGTCACCCGAGGTGACATGTCTGCGTGTCAGCCGAGGTGGCGTGTCTGCGTGTCGCCCGAGGTGGCGCGTCTGCGTGTCACCCGAGGTGGCGTGTCTGCACGTCACCCGAGGTGGCGCGTCTGCGTGTCACCCGAGGTGGCGTGTCTGCATGTCGCCCGAGATGGCGCGACTGCCTGTCACCCGAGGTGGCCTGTCTGCGTGTCACCCGAGGTGGCGCGTCTGCGTGTCACCCGAGGTAGCGTGTCTGCCTGTCACCCGAGTTGGCACGCCCATTTGTAGGCAGTATCGTTTCTGCCGCTATTTGTAACATGTTGGCAGAATATGGTGTCAAAAAACTGGATGGTGCTTAAGGTTTGGCGGAACAGTGTTACGACTTCGCGGATATGTTAAAATGCGAGCAAGTGGCGAGAAACATGCGTTTAAAATCCCAAGTCCAGCATGAAAATGGCGATAAATTTCAATGGAAAAGCTTATCCACACAGAGAGCACAGTTACGAAACAATTTAGTATGTTTTTTTAAAAGACGCGTTACATCCCCAATTTTCGCAGCTTATTCACAATGTTTAGTTTTTCAGGGCG